ATTGATCACGTTAAAACTGAGTTCAATGGTCCCTTCTGCCTATGAGAGAAGATATTGGTTTCTACTGCCACTTTTCGAAGCATTTCTTGTCTATACACATATTCCTCATCAAAAATCGACATTTGGATGAAGTCTTGCCCTTAGGATCGTTTCTGATCCTCACAGAAACTGGGAAGTCACTTTCAACAGCTGCCTTGGCTAACATCGTCGTGTGTATCCTTGCTTTGATTCAGATTCCTTTTCCAGTCGTTATATTCGTTTAAGTTGCAGTTCCACTCATCATTCTGCTACCTATCTCGGTGGGAAGTCAACTTCAACTTTGATATCAAGATCTATCAGACTGGTTTTGTTTAGTAGTGGTTCTATCAAGCCAAACCTCTCGTTCAGCTATTACTCATGGTTCTGTACCATCCCAAAGTTTTTCATGGAGCAATACTCATTTTTATAACAGTTGTGTTCGATTTTTGTCCTCAGTTGGCATCTTAGCAGTAGAGTGTACTCTCAGTTTGATCATGTTCTTTATTAGGGTGCCAGCTTCGAACTTAACTACAATACTCATTGCAGACGTGCCTTGGTACCGCCGCTTTCGATGGGTTCCGGTAGCCGCATCCAATAGTTCTTCAAGTTTCTGTAAGAATCGTTTCAGACGTTGGCGATTCTTTTTTAGCACGAATTCTATCTTACAAATGAATGTTCACAACTGATAAGCACCGCTCGCGCCCGTACTTTGTTGGCGGTTGTAGTGCCACTTTTTCTGTTTTATTTATGTTTTTTTGTCATATGTTAACTAGAACATGCATTTTTCTACTGAAAATTTGACCAGTAACTTATCTTTTTTGGATCATTTATCCTTAAATTTTTAGTCAAATCTGGCTTTGTGCCCGATAAAGATACAATACTGTATTTCCAATTTTTTTATAGACACTTTTATTGTTTTCAACGTCAAGCCCAATGAAGATTGCTATGGTCTTCTTTAATTTCCTGAAGAAGAAAAGAACTATTAAAATAAAAAAACAGTTACAGTATTTTTCTTTTTAAAAATAATTGGAAAAGTATACAAAGACAACAAGTGAAGTAAGCTTGTCAGCACAGCTCCTTTGGAGCTGAAATGTGGAACTCACGTATGTGCTTCCGAGTGGTTCTCTTAATGCATTATCTATAAACTCAAAAATAGTTTTTTTCCCGAATAATTATGAATGCATTAGAAATTGTATAGAATCTGAAGCATTTTATGTGCGGTTGCTGAGGTCTGTAATGGTGGCCTGTCTGTAACGGGGAATGTTTGTAATAGGCGTATGTCTGTAGTGTTCTCTTCTCCGTTGTTATGTGTCTGTAATGGGATGGGGAGAGGGAGAGCCAGAAAACCTTGACCTTAAAACTTACACTCAGTATTTTCTTCGAAAATATACGTGAATTCCACAATAAAATAAACGCTCTAGGGAAGGTATTAAGTAATGTGTTATATGAATGATATTTCTTAAAATAAGTGCATGAAACAAAGCTTCAACATCCAAATAAAAAAGTTTAAAAGGTAGTAGGATACAACAAGAGGGTTTTGTTCCATAAAGCGTAAAGAATAATACTTTTTATGACGACAATGCGTAATGTGTTGTTTATTTCTAATAAAAGAATAATTATCAAACTTCGGTTTTGTCTCGTTTGCAAGCAAAAGCAGATTCAACTCAGAATTTATGGATGGATAGCCATATACAAGATAATTTAGTCATTAAGTTTTAAAAGGCAAAAGAAATATTTCCTAGTTTAAATAAGAGACGATAAACAATTATTCACAAGTAACGCTCGTCGCTTCGATTTGCTTAGCCCTCGACTGAATAGTTAAATTTATTTACATATCATTTTATTTTATTTCTCTGAGATAATAGGTGGTAACATCAGATGTAACTGAGTATACGTGTTACAATACTATGATCTTAGTCTGTAATAGTATAGGTAATTTAGAATTTTAATTATTCTCAGTATTAAAATCGCCATTTTTCTCGACTGCTTATAGAGCCAAGCGTTTTCAAAAATAGTGTCGTGGAATTCTCCCTTGTAGAGCACAATGGTTAGAAAAATGTATTTACTTGTTTCATGGCTGATAGTGTGAGCAAAGATTAATCTTTTAATGAAAATTTATCAAGAAAAATAAATAATAGGTACACTCATATGCATTATACTATTACGTCTTTTTGTGACATGAATAGTAGTCTATATCATGCAGTGACAATAATATAAGGTATGTTGCTTTCAATTGCTAGTTACCACTCATATGTATGATCAACCTATCAACCATACAGATCAATCAGAATGTTTTTATATCTTATATGAAATGAGCGAATGTGATAGCAATCATCACTGAACTTTTTATGAGTATATTTTCAGTCAAATTTATGCACTATTAAATAATCGAGATTATTGATATTAAAAGTTTTATAAGCAATTACATGACATAAATATATTTAATTTGCATTTGCAACTATAACAAACAGAAAAAGAGACATCCATATCTAACAAATATCATATCGAACTACAATCAAAACAAAGAAAAACAACGCTAATATATACAAGGCATTAATATAGAAAAAAACCAATAGTTAAATGTATATAACATAGAACAAACACGTAAGAAAAGTAGGTATTTAGAGCAATAACAGATACAAATAAAAAGAGTTTCCATGCAATACAAAAACAAAATCATTGAAACCACTGAGAAAAATGTTTTTGTGTTTCTAAATATATTTGATCTAGTCTTTCCATTTCGATGAGTTGAAATTTACTTGGTTTAATTAATAAAACCTTGTAATTGAATTGCCATAAGATAACTAGATCAACCAAATGTTTTACATGAGATAATGGTACATAAACTGCGGCAATATCTTCAGTTTCATTTGGCAGTTTAAGATCGATCACGACTTTATTCAGAGTTTGGCCTTGGCTCTTGTGTGTTGTAATGCAATAAGCAGGCACCAGTGATAATGCTCGACGTTTAATCAATAAAATTGCATTTCAATTTGATTTTGGTTCCTTGTCTTTTGGAAGAATATCAGAAATGTTTACTCGAAATGTTTGTTCGATTACCGGTATTGGAACAAGTTTTGGTTGAAGTTCTTCAAGATTTGATTCAATTTTTGATTTGGCAATTTCTATTAATGCATATAATGGTCGATGGATGTACTGTGTATTTTTTGGAAATATTTCCGATAAAACATCTGTTGATACAGAATATGCCTGATAGACTAATTGTCGAAATATTCTATTAATACCATTAATAAGACCAAGTTCAATAGCAATGTTTTGTGTTAAAATAACAGGCATTCCAGGAACAAAAGGTAATAAACCAGGTAAATGCTCTGTCTTGCTATCAGATAATTTCAATAATTTTTTTATAAGTATAGGATCTTCAATTGGTTTGCCATTACAAGTGTCTTGAGCGACGCATACCATTGGGACGTGGCCTAATTGAGCTGCATTGTGAATTGCTGCCTTGTTGTTCAATTGTGTTCGTACTTCATTTCGAAACACAAGGATCGGAGCCTAAATGAGACAAATATACACGTTTGTATCAAAAGGAAAAGAAAACTTACTTTATTCCATGGTGAATCACAGAGAGAGCCTACTGATAGTTGTCCAACTACTCGTGTCAACAATAATTCATAGTCGTCATAATTACATTGTCCATGACGAAGACATTCGAGTAGCTGAAGGTACCGTGAACCTTCCATGCGCATCTGTTGAGTAAGTTTTACCACACAGTTAATTTGAAGAATTAAAGAACGCGCAACACATTGTTGAATTTCTTTTTCTGTGGGTAGTTTACCCGATTTCTTTTTGGATGGTAATGAAAAATCAGTGTATAATGGTGTATCATATACAGGTCGATATTGTAAGTAATTACCAAAGAAGATAATGTTTACACTACCGAATGGAACTTAGGATCGACATGTTTTGCAATTGAAATAATTCGGTTCAGTTTGCTGGTAGAGTTAAACCAACCATACTCATCTCATCAATTAAAAGATATTCGACTGATCTCCATTCTTTCTCAAGTTTTGAGTCATCCAGTTTAATGGTCCGTGGCTTTCCTGAATTGCGTTGTTCACCCAAAAATGAATGAATTGCCATTCCATCTATTTCAGCAGCAGCAGCAATTCCAGTCGGTACAAGCTTCCTCATCATTTGCATTCTTTTTGTAACGAGAAAGTATTTGGTAAGAGCACAAATAAGTTGTGATATGCCCGTTCCACCACACCCAAGTATATACATGATGAACTGACCATTATTGTCACGTAAACAGATTGTATATTTCGATCTGTGATGACGTGTATTGTAAAAATACCTGTGCGACATCGGCTGTCACCATCAAGATGACTTGTTATGATCATAAATGCAGCTCGTTATTCTCTGTTTAACTGTAAATTCATTAATAATACTTGTCTGAGTAGGAAAGTTAGGTATGACTTTGAGCACTGGAAGAATTGAACCATAATTTTCAAAATAGTTTGTACTATAATTATTTGGATTCATCACTGTTACAACGGCATCTCTTATAGCAAATAAATCCAATGTATCATCATCTTTGTCATAGTTCCTTATAATTAAACTTCGTCTAACTCGTTCTTTCTCGATCTTCAGCTGTTTTTGTCATTTTGTATTGAGTTGAACAAGATGAGGTGTTGCACAAAGGAATAGTATAAGTTGTCGATTAGTACGATCAATTGATATATCTGAAGAAGATTGATAATATGCTACAATAAATTTTTTATCATTGTTTGCAAACTTGTTACTGATATAAAAATAATACTTACTGTTCGTATGATTAAATCGTCCAACGTTCTCGACTGCTTCGATAGTTTCTTCAATATATTTATTTTCTGTTGTTTTTCTTGTGGTATTGACTGCAGCAGTCGTATATTCATCTAAATTGCCTAATAGCTCAAGCAAGTCATCGCTGTCATCCATGTCGTATTCGCCATGAATATCATGTTTTGCTGGCAAAAGTACAGGATTGATAGCATCATTGTCAACTTGAGCTTCAGCAATAATTTGAAGTAAATGATCATCACGATCCTTTTTACATTCGTGCAAAAGTTGAATATTTTCTATAATCTTCCATGAATGAACAGAAATAAGATGTTGCCGATATTTGAAGGCATCTTTCCATGTTTGATTCGTATCACAGAGATTAGTGACGAACCACTAGGGTACGAAGAGTGTGAGAAGAGCTCGACAATATCGTTCTCGAGTGTCGTCACGATCTTGTCGAGGAATTTGAGGGTCGTAAAGAATAGGTACATGAAGTTGACTATATTTCATCATTAAATGTGTTGTTGCCTGTGAATGCTGTTGTTGAAAAGGAAAGCGTTCATTGTGTGGTCGACCTTTTCGATTAGCATTTTTTTCGACTGATGCTGCAGATTCGGATGAATACTTGAAATCTGATGTATTCATTTTTTTTCTTATATAATGTGCTGACGAAGTCGTATAAACACATCTTGTTGAGAGTATTGGATTGGCATTGATAATCAATTCTTGTATTAACGAAGATGAAGCTATTGTCATTTTCATTCGATTGAATTTGAAATTGTTCTTCGTCCTTGTTTTCATTGTCAATAGCTTCATCATCATATGCGTCATCGTCCATTATATCTAACAAATGAAAGATAAGACATTATGTTTGATTCAACTATAATATTAAAAACATACCGCATGTTACAATTTTCGACTTCTGTTTGGCACGTATTTCATTTAATTGAGTTTGTAAAAATCGTTCAGTTTGAATTAAAAAGAGGCCTTGGAACTTGTGTGTTGTATAATGATCATCCTAGTTCATCAGATAAGATGCAACTTGAACTCCAGATAATTCTTGTTGAGAAGCAGGTGTATTATAACAGCGTAAAACGAGTATACGCGACTTCTCGATTGCAGTTTCTTTGTCTGGTTGATGGCATGAATTCTGGAACGCTGTAATGCTTTTTTGTACAAGAGCAAAATGTATCATGAAAAGAAAGACTCATTTTTGTCACATAATCGGTAATATAATAGATAAGAGCCTTTGCATTGCTTCCACTCCAGATAAATTTAATATCCATGTTGGATCGACAGGCTGCGATGAGATATTCATTAAAATTATTTATCAATGGGTCGGATCTTCGCATAGAAATGTGATCTGTATCAGGATCAATTGTTGAAATTGGTACCAACTTGCGTGGCATACGCATCCGACAACTTTTCTTATCATCTTTATTAGTATTCCAGTATTTATAACAAGTATCACTATGTTTATGAATATTGCTTGCTTCAACAAGTTGTACTACATCTGCACGAAATCGTGATGCAAAATTAGGTGACGACGGATTTGGAGTTGATAAGCAAGCTGGAATCACTTTTGATTCATTATACGAAGCATTAATAACTAAAATATTAAATAATCCTTTACTTTTCTTCTATGATTACTATACTTACCAAATGTTGATTGATTACGTGTTGGTGTTTGTAAAAGTTTATTTGGCAATGCAGACACATGCAAAATCGATGAAACAAATTGTTCCTTCAGCGGTGTTGATTGAATGTTGTTGGGTCCATATGCATTTTGTTGTAAACCTGTCAAATCGATTGTACTTAAAGCTTCATATATGTTATCTCGGGATAATCGTGGTGGCGTGTTCCATGATCTTGGCACTATAACATAAGCAAAAACCATATTTGAATATAAGCAAAAATTAAACTCTTTATACCATCTAAATTTTCGAAGACATGTTTGTTTTTGATTCATCTAAATCTTCTTTGATTATATCTTCTAGATATGCTTTCAATTTTTCACGAAAATCAGCATTTTGAATTTTGTCTTTCATATCAGCTAGTTTCATATCATGATCAAGCCAAATAAGAAGATGCAAATGAAGGGAACCTCGTCCTTGACTTTCAACGGTACCAAAGTAAGCTTTTATTGGGCCAAGTACACCACCAACGATCATAGTATCTAAGATATTACTGATCAATAAATGGAAATATTTGGCAGTAGCAACAGGATGAGATGCTATAATTTCAGCTCTTTTGTAATTATCCATAAGTTGTTCCATTTGAATATTGTCCAAATCAAACTTGACGCCAGCAAAATATAATGCCACGGGACTGTGAATATCAGCTAGATTTAAAGTTAAAAAAATGCTTGGTAGTCCCTGATTGTAGATTAATGCATGAATACGTGTATGTAATGCCGTACGTGAATATGCTAAAACCATAACTCGACCACCGATGGTTTTAATATGATGTAATAATTTATTTAATGCACTGCTGGATTCCGAACTGTATGTTTTTTTGGAAATGTTACCGAGCGCCATTTCAATATCTTTACTTTTCAAGGATTGAATTTCATCAGCAGATACTCGAAAGTAAGATTTTGTTGCGATCAGCTGAGCATGAAAACAAGCATCACGTCGTTGTAATAGTTTGAAGACGACAAATATAAAACAGTGGTTCATTTCAAAACGTCGATCATTGTACGATAACAGATAACGCATGTGTTCTCGTAAATTTACTTTGACTGGATGCGATTGATCTTCAAGTGCTCCACGTCCATAACAGAATAAAGTTGGATACAGACCTACGAATAGTTTTGGATTAAAATATTCGTTAACAGGCTCCAAAGAATGAGGAATCAAATAAACACTTTCGATATCCATCTGTTTCTTTGTTCCGTCATTTTTAATTTTGTGCAAAAGATAATTAGTAATTTCATCTGAAGACACTGATGAGCCGTTGACATCGAGAACACCACTAGAAAAGAAAAGATTTGTAAAACAACTAATTTATTAGCTGCTATTACCTGGTACTAATAGGAATACTATCTGTGGTAGTACGTTCTATTAGGTCGGATAATGGATCCGGAATATATCCAGCTCTTTCAGATCGAATTTCTTCATCACCTATCTTCTGTTCCATCATTGACATAATACATTCTGGTACATCGTCTTCAGGTAATTGAGCAATATTCTTCAGATTTATATCGACATTTTGATAAAGTACGTTATGTTTCTTCAACCAATGTAATGCTTCAATAATTTTCTTCTTGCGTACTCGTCAAGTGTAAGTGGTAAACTATTAACAATGTTTGGTACATTTTGAAGAAAAGTGATATGGTTGCCTTTCAATGTTGTCTGGGCAATTGTAGTTGAATGGAAAGGTGAATGAAGTTTTATTGTACAGCTGTTGTGACGATAGAGTGACATCAATTTTTCTTCTGGAATTCTCAATCCTTGTAATTCAGAAAATGCGTCACCTAACTACATATTGTTGGTAGCTGAAAATTTAGAAATTTGTCCCTTCGACAGAGAAATATGACATTTTTGGCAGTGTGCACATGTTCACCTTGTTTTGTTGAAATAAACCATTGGTATACAAAACAACACCATTATCATAATGAAATGATGAAGAATCGAAAGTTGAAGGAACTAGAATAGTCAAAGATTCTATATAATGTCTCAAATCACAGTAATCATATGTTACTTTGAATATTTTGAAGAATCGTTGTGCTGCTGCTGTCTAAATGTTGTGATAACGATGATGGACCATTAGTAATTAAATTTTTGAGCTCATCAGAAACTTTAAGTAAATGGATATTAGGAATTTTTGAGAGTGGCACTTTTCTTGACTGTTGTATTTGAGTACGAACGTTTCAAATTGCACAAGTAGCTTCAGTCAGTACTGGCATGGGCATCTGTTGAAGAAACTGTTGCAAACAGGTCTCTTTTAATTCACGAGGAATCCATTCAGGCCAAGAGGAATAATTTGAGTCGTTCTTTTTCTGTATGGCGTTTTCATTTGTGCTGCTATTATTCCAAGATGCTTCTTCTTCTGTTCCACTAAATTGCATTTCAATATTTTGTCGATGAATGTCAATGTTGTCAAATGTGTGTTTTTCAAGTTTATTTTTCGCTCTGTTTGCTTGGCTTCGTTTCCTTTGCTTCTCAAGTCGAATTTGACGTTGTTGTTCTGTTTCGTTTGATCGATTCGATTGAGTTCGTGTTTTTTGTTTTTCAAGTCGAATTTGACGATGCTCAGTTGTTTCGTTCATTCGACTGGACCGAGCTCGTGCTTTTAGTACATCAAGCTGAACTCGATGTTGTTCTTCTATGCCACTTTGACTTTGTTGTACTACACTTGAACTGATTGATTGAGTAGAGTACATTCCCATATTATCGATACGTCGACGGCTGCTAGGAGGACATTCAAATTCAGGACTTCGTATTCGAGTAGGAGTATTATTCTTAAACGTTTTCTTTTCAGGAGTCTAAATAAATTTCAAAATTTCCAGAGAAGCAGTTACACATAAACAACTTACGGCAAACTTTGGTGATTTATTTCCATATTCAGATGTGTAATGCACTGCTGATGATAGAAGAAGAACAAAATGATTGGGACTCCATACATTATTATTTGAAGCTCGTGCATCTATTTCGTTCAAGACGTGAGACCATAAAATTGTGATGTCACAGTTGGTAATGACAGGTGGAGCTGGTTTAAAGAGGTTATTCATAATTGCTAGATCTTCTCGAAAATCAATTTTTGGATAGATGCTTCGTATATTACATTTAAGTACATTGCATAATGCACTAAGTTCATACAATTCTGAAAATGTATTATTTTTGCACGTAGCCTTGATAATACATGCGACAGATCCGACGAATTGTGAATACATGCTATCATAATAAGTTTTATTTGTCATAAGTTCGATAATTGTTCGAACTAAAAATTATATTAAAA